TTCTTCGCAATCATCAGCATAGAGAATGACATCTTCCTAGCAAGATAGTTTTAGCCTTCCTGCAACTGATTTAAAATGGCTTTGTCATCCTGTCTCCAGTTTAGAAAAAATCCAAGGAAAGTGAAGGATCATTGCGTCTTATCCTTGCCGGACTGCTGTGCACCTTCAAAGTTTCTTCATTATTGTTTTTTATAGCAACTGTTCGGTTATATCATAGATCTTGTGGTTGTTTTGAATCATTGATGAGTTGTCCTGATTGATTGTGGTTAATGTTATTCTATTACATTCTAGCTAAATCAAACTTCTTGAAGAACGTTTCATAGGATTAGCTGTTGAGTGAGGAAAACTGATACTCTTATAATACTTTTCATGGACCCATATCTCGAGAAAAAATCTGAAGATTTGCCAAGTATTCCATGATTTTCTGTTATAATCGTGACTGCATGGAGAATCTCACTTCTGTTAAAACTAAATTAATTTTTTGTTCAGATCCTTTACGACATTGGCGTTATTCCTGGTTCGGATATGACTTCTGAAGCGGCAATGGCTAAAATGTGCTATGTGCTTGGCAAAGACGAATGGGATCACGAAACAAAGCGAATGGTAAGATTTATCAATACCCTGCATCCTAAAAATCTCTGGCCCCACGAATGTGCACTTACAGATGTTACAAACGAATTTACGTGGCGAGATGACAGTGACGAATGAAGACGTTAAGATGCGAGAGCTTGACATCAGTGAGTTCACAATTTTCTCTCTTTTTTTGCGATTTCCTTCAATTTCAAAAAGCATTTCAGTTCCACACATTGCAAAATGCTTGCGGCTATCATCCGGCAACGAAGTGCAACTGATCCGTGACACAATCCTTCCACCATTATTCTGTAATGCTGCAAAAACGAACAAACCAGAAATTTTGAAGAGCATCAAGGTACGTGATGCGGAATTTAGAAGTTGTTCTGTAGAGCTTTGAGTTTCCCTTCTTGTAGCAAATCGTGAGCTCATCGCACCTAAATGTTCTAAATTTGAATTTATCCAAATAC